ACAGTAGTTGGCTGTATGGCTTTACAACACGTTTCCGCAATGTGACGCTGCACACGTGTCAAGCAAGATGTTATGACAGTAGTGGATTGCATGTCTTGACAGTACGTTTCCGCAACGTGACGCTGCACAAACAAGCATGCCAGATGTTACTGGTATCACAGTTGCGCAACGCATGGCTTGACAATACTGCACAAAAAAGCACGCGAGATGTCATCACAGTGGTGGACTGTATGGCTTGACAATACGTTTCCGAAAGGTGACGCGGGACTGATGCGACCTTCGGCGGTGCCAAGCGACTTAGACACTTAGGGCCGGCACCCAGCAGCTGGGTCGCCTGCGGCTTTTCGAAGATAGCCCTGTTGCCCCAGTGGGAATCGTGTCCGAAGGCAAGACCAAACATCGCAATCCTTACCACTGAAGAAGAAGGTGCTTCCGCCTTCTCCACCTTTTTTCGCTTCGCCTCCAACTGGGCTTCACGGGACGCAAGCCCACCTGGCAGGAGCTGCCGAAAGATCACGGCGGTTGAGGGGTCTACCTGGCAGACCCAGAAACAGATGCCGGACTGGTTCGATGCAACCCCGCTGCAGAGGCTTCAGAAGTGTCCTTGCCCCACCTCATCCACTAACGCCCTCCATACAGAAGGCATCTTCAAGAGTTCTTCGTCCGGAGCCCCTTATGCCGGAAACAACAACTGCAAAGGTCAAGCTCAAACAAATACCAAGACCATCGCTTCAGGACATGAGTGAGGTTAAACAGAAGAACTTTAAAACCTCTCACCCATAAACCTCAAGCCCGAAGCACCCAGCATTAAAAGCTTGGAGCCACAGCGCGTGCCTTGCTCCTGTTCTTCCTGCACGCGACGGCGTTTCAAAAGGCGCTCGCGCACAGCCTCCATGCGAAGAACCTGGTGCTCTTGAGGTTTAGGTACGCTTTGGGACTTAAACCGTTGTGTTGATGAAAAGGGCTGAGGATGGCTTCGAACCGAGTCTTGGATGCCTGACTTGCGCGGCACCGAGGGTTCAGGGTCCGGGGTCTGGGCATGAAGGCTCTGGGTTTTATCGTTTTTTGCGGCAGCCCGAGGTTGCCCCATCCTGCCCCCAGGTGGTGGCTTCCTCGCAGACTGAACAACCCCTGCGACAAGGAGTAGTCTTGTACTGGATTTCAAGCAGTTTGGCACAGGTTCAATCTTCATGAGTAATTCGTCTTCACCAGCCAATGTAAAACGCAGCCCATACCCACAAGTTTGGGCCCAAGCTCATGCCCGAAGTCCCCAGAATCTGAACTTGGGATGGCCCTGGATCGCACATGAGGCTGCAGAAGGGGCACATCCTCAGCCTGCAGATCCGTCTGGCATGCCTCTTCAACACTGGCAAAAGATGTGGGATAAAGCTTCGGGTGGGAAGCTTCACGAGTGTAGGGTCTCAGGTTTGTGCTACGGGATTGGCATGTGTGACTTCGATGCGGATTGAAGATAGAGAAACGCAGCTTCGCATCAAAGAGCCTTGCAACGTACAGCCGGCTCACCGGCTCCCAATGCGCAGGCGATTCTCCCTCGGAAGCTCACCGGCTCCCAGTTGGCGCCGTCTTCCTAGATCCCTAACGGGGCTGTTGGTCTGTGCCGAAGCCTACTCTTCTCCTGGTCCTGGCTGTGTTGAAACATCTTCATGTCTCGGTGGCGACGATGTTGAGATGACGACGACAATGCTGCTGATATGCCGCTGCTGATGTTGATAAAGATGATGGTTGGAGCGAGAATTAATCTCCAGGTTCGGAGTTTTTGAGGACACACAATTCCGTATCACAGCTACGACCTCGACCGTCTTTCTTCATGGGCCGATGGGTTTTATCATGTGACTCTGCTTTCAGCTGCAAGGCCCTGAAGACCGGAAACCCCGAAAAGCACCCTCAATAGAACAAAACTTGCGACACACGCCTGCTCGCATGTTCGCACAGGCGGATTTGCTGCTTCCTGGCATCGGCCGGGAAATCCATGTCCACAAAACTGATTAGAGTAATCCGCATCATCCACACCGATTGACCCGATAGAAAACACCCCGAGCTCATCTGGGCTGTATGCCGAGAGTCCGAGACAAGCCAACTTGATCGACGTGTCTTACTTTGCATGTCGGCTCAGTGCGTACATAAGGCTTCCGGCCCTGTGGATGACGACCCGACCATCTCTCAGAGTAGTGTTTGACCGGCATCTTAGTGCACTAGAAAAACTTCTCGAAAATACAGAGATCTGAGACTCTACGAATCTCAAAATAACGGCGGCTTGGTGTATGGGGCAGATTCTGACCTGCCCTTCGGCCACAAACTCCCACACCCTTCAATTCCTAAATGCGCCTTTAGCTAGCTAAGCCAGTTGAAAACACAACCGAAACACAAACATGACATCGATAACTCGGCAACACCTCTGCCCTTTCGGCCTCTGCTGCTGCAAGTGCACGCAGTTTTTTGGCCAACTCGAGAGCCTGGACGGTCGAAGATTTCAGGGTGTTTGTCTCTGACTTTATGTTGAAGCAGGCACCTAAAATTCCGAGCCTTCGAAACTAATCTACCGCCCCAAGTTAACCATTCTATCACTTGGGTGAGGCGGACACGGCGGCGTAAGGGCTTTTGCAATTGAAAAGCTTGGTGGGGTTCATGGCTTGGGGGTTTAGGCATGGGATCAAACATCTTTGAAGGCTTGCGCTCATCGGGGTTATGACAGCAGGCATGAGTTGTGCGATTTCCATAAAGAAGAACCCGGCTAAAAAAACCCTCGATCCCAGAGCAACAGAACCCTCGACCATGCAGATTGGACCCAAGCCGAGCCCACAACAGCACGCATCGGTTGAGATCCTGGCATCTTTGAGGACCTCCTTCCTGTGGCTTTGCAGGGCGGCCTGCAGCTTCGGATGAGACCACAACTCGGGGACCCAAGTCAGCTGGTAGTGCTTCGGGATGTGAACCGAGGCAAACAGTCAGGATAGGGTTGTGGGGCGGGGGAGCTGTGTTTTTCTTGGCTTACAGAGCGGAAAACCAAGGGCAACATTGGAGCGCTACTACACGGTATCGGCCAATGCACTGATGCACTGCCACCTTGCCGACAAGAGTTGCTTCACATGAGCAGGCGATTCGGCTCTATAATCGAATGCAGTGCACAAACTTCAGACGACCCTCAAGATTGCAGCCCCAGGCACACGAAATCGTAAGGTCTTAGGCCTGACGCGGTACCTTGCTCCCTGACTTCTTTTCCCAAGCCAGGACTGTAGAGCCGTTAAGCTGTCAATGGTGTTAAATGGTGGCCCGAAGTTGCTTCACCAAGCAATACATCCCCGGTGGCCTCTACACTCAAAAAGCTGCAGGCACGAGAAGAAAAACTACCGCCAGCACCTAAACAACAACCAACCCGGAACCCCCAAACGCCAAACAGCTCCCATGCCTCAGCGGAGGGACTGGGCTCCTTCTGGATGTGGAATTGAAAACTTTGTGGCGCTTCTTGCGCTGCACACATGGGGTTCAAGGTGAGGGTTTTATGTTTTGCCGTGGACTCTTGGCCTGGGTTCCAGGTTTTCCACATCTGAGCAGCTTGGCTTAAGCTCTTCAGTGGACTAGTTCTTCGCGCACGAGCCTTTGCAGAACTAGCATGTCACCAACTCCCAACAAGAAGAACAGATGCGATGCATTTGTAGAATGTTGCCCATGTCCACTGACTCAGAGAAGGGAAGCGCTGCTGTCGTCGTTATGTCCGGACCACAAAGCCTGTCTTCACCATGGCCCTCAGCAATCCTTACATCCTCAGTCTAAATGGGCAATTTGCATTTACGCATCATCCTGGAGTCTTCGCTTAAACTTGCCGATTCTCTTTAACATGACCCTCAAAAACGAGGCCCACATCCGGGTACACGAAACATTTGTACCTTTCACACCTCGCGGGGTGCATCTGAACGCCAAACAAGAGCCCTTGCGCGAACAGGAAGATCAACAATGTTACAAACCAACACATGAGGTCGAGAAGTAGCAGTCTTAGCCTCTGCCTAGTCTACCTCGGCATAGGCCGCTCCTCCTCTTCCCTCTCTGCCTGAACAGGCTCTTCTTCCTCCTCCTCCACCGGCACCTCTAGAGCAAGAGGAGCCGAAAGACTTGAGCGAGCTCTATGCATTTAGGTCGTGGACGCCCCGCAATATGAGGACAGCAAATCTTCAAGCATCTCAGACTCTTCATCCCTAGTGTGAATTGCAGGGCTTTGGAATTCAGCGCCTGGGATAGTTGGCAGTTGTGGCTTCAATCTCGACTCGAGGCCTACATTACCACATTCCTACAGAAACAAAGGCGAGCCCCAACCCACAACTGAGGTGGCACTTTGGCTCGCTCGTTCGATCTGAAGCTGTGGGAGTTGCGATGAGCGTGGGATCCAGGATCCACGTTCGTTCACTTTGGATATCTCCAAAAGGCATGCGGCACACAAAAAGCTACAGAGATGCCAAAAAGTTGAAAAACAACTCATTCCGAATTTCTGTACCAGTAACTCAATCACCTAAATTCAGA